TTAACCACATCCATGATGCGGCCCTCAATGAAATTGAATTTGACATCCCTGTGTTAGAGGATGGAGACGTTTCTCTCTCTGTAGACCGCCTGTTGAAATGCAGTTCAGCTGTTCAAGACAATACCCAGAGTCAGGACTCTTAACAATGCCAGCTTTGCCTTCAAAATGTTTTCCTGAGAAGATATTGTTCAACAGAGTCCTTTTGAATTAGCATGAATTGTGCACAGAGATTCCAAGACACAACTCTATCGGGAACACTACTCCTTCGCTGCAAAGCCATTCAGAGCTTTTGACTCTAAAACAAGGAGTGGGGGGAAAGGGGAATGGAAACATCCACCATTCAGAATCAAAGGATGCTAGAACTTTGGGGAGTGTTAGAATCATCAAAAGGAAATTCAGATAGGTTGCTTGGTTTAGACGTGGGGAGATGGGAAAAAGTGTTCGACTCCAGAATTTCCATTCACATCAAGACTTTATGTATATGGTTGCATCCACATTGTAAACAACATTTAAAAGAGAATGGAAGGGAGGTGCAAAGAAAGAGGAGACAGGGAGAGGAAAGAGTATGATGGCAATTACTCAATGGAAAGAAGGAGAGAAGTTGCAATTCTATATATTCTTTTTCTTTTTTCATATTTTCCCCTTTTCTTATATTTTCTTAATTCTTTTATAGTATGTGTGCATATATGCATATATGTGTGTATGTATGATGTATATATGTATATGTATACACCCACATACTGTATATACATATATATTGTATATATACATGCACACACACAGTATGTGTGTGTATATACAGAACATACTGTATATACATATATATTGTATATATACATGCACACACACACACACATACATGTATGTATGTATGTATGTATTTATGTATGTACTGTATATTAGATTCAGATTTGTGTGGACATGATGGGTCAGGGGTTAAGGATGCTGAGTTTTTCAGCTGGAGACCTGACAGCCTGGGTTTGAGACTCTGGTGTTGTGTGATGGGGTGAGTTCCCAATCCTTGCTCCAGCTCCTGCCCTCCTAGCAGTTTGAAATCATGAAACTGTGAGTAGATAAATAGGTACCATTTTGGTGGGAAGGTAACAGTGCACTTTGGCATATAGCCACACTGGCCACATGATCACAAAAAAGTCTTCAGACAATGCTGACTTCCTCAGCCAAGAAACAGAAATGAGCACCGTGCCCTAAAGTCGGGCATGACTGGACAGGGAAACCTTTATTTTTTATTTTTTATAATATCAGGTTCTAGTAATATTAACAAGTGAAGAAGGACTAGTAATCAAGCTATACAGTGTTTACAGGTATGGGGATATATTTAGTGAGGAATGAAAAATTCTTTAAAATATCCTCGTATAGTTAAGAAGAGAGAGAGAGAGACAGACAGACAGACAGACAGACAGACAGACAGAGACAGTCAGAGAGAGACAGAGAGAGAGACACACACACAGAGACACACACAGACACACAGACACACACACAGAGACACACACACAGAGAGAGAGAGACAGAGAGAGAGAGAGACAGAGAGAAAGAGAGACAGAGAGAGACACACACACATACACACACACACACACACACAGAGAGAGAGAGAGACAGACAGAGAGAGAGAGAGAGAGAGAGAAAGAAAGAGAGACAAAGAGAGAGACATACACATATACACAGAAAGACACACACAGAGAGAGAACAAAAAGGTAAAAGAAAAAACAAGCCCTATAGCTGGAAAAGCAGATTTAATGCTACAATAAATAACTAACTGAAAATGGGAGGTGAAGACCGCAAAGAACAGAATGTATGTGAAATTAGTCTTTTTGGCTCTTATAGGTATGCAATGCATAGCCAGTCACTCTAGACCAAGTATAGACTATTATGCTCTGAACACAAAAACGTTGATAGTTTTATAGGACAAAGACTCCGACGAGCTGCTTGACCCTTGATCTGACAATAAGGCTTAACCTATTTTTCAGAATAAATGGTTTAGGGCCAAGAAAAGGCATTAACAAGAATGACATTCCAAATGATTGAAACGAAGGCTTAGAGACCAAGTAAAATGGGGGGGGGGGGAAGAGATGCTGGAAATGGGTAAAATGTGTGTGTGTGGGCACATACATCCCTTTGCCCACCTGCATATGTTGGTGGATATCTTATGCATCAGAGGTAGCTACGGATATGCCTTAAAACAGTGATTCTCAAAATTTGCAAAGCTGGGATCTCCTAAAATAGTAACATGAGCTGGTGAACCTTTCCAAAGCTGAACATATCTGAATGGCCCTTTTTCGCCGAATTTGATCCTGAAACATTTGAGGCTGAACGCTTACTTGATCCCCTAAATGTATTTAATTTCTTAAGTATTCATTGTCACAAAGGTGCTTTTGCACAGGAACTGGAAGCTCACATGCAAAGCAGGGGTGAAATACTCCTGGTTCGGACCGATCCGGTAGCGATGGTGGTGGGTGGTTTGGAGAACCGGTAGCAAAAATCCCTGCAAACACCTCCCCCCACCCCATTCCCAGCTGAGCCACACGATCATCAGAGGCTTTTTTTTTTTTACTTTTAAAAGCATTTTTTCTACAACTTCTTCCGACGAAAAAATGCTTTTAAAAGTAAAAAAAAAAAGCCTCTGGTGATCACGTGGCTCAGCTGGGGTTGTCAGAGGCTTTTCAAAGCATTTTTTTCTGCAACCTCTTGGCTGAAGAGGTGGTAAAAAAAATACTTTGAAAAGTCTCTGACAATCCCAGCTGAGTTGCCTGATCGGCAAAGCATTAGAAAAAATGCTTTGAAAAGTTAAAAAAAAAAAAAGTTGGCCACGCCCACCCAGTCACATTACCCACCACCACCAAGCCACACCCACAGAACCGGTAGTAACCAATTTTACATTTCACCCCTGATGCAAAGCCCAAGAAAAGGTATAAATACCCCGCCCCACTCTCAACTCCATGTGGTCAGCTGCCCAGAACCACAAACCCATGTGGCTCTGCTTCATCATCAAACCATCTTTCCAATCAGCCTCTATGTTTCCAGTGTTTTTCTCCCAGCTTGGAACTGACCCAGGTGGATATTTCTTCACACAGTAAAGGTAAAGGTTCCCACGCATGTGTGTGCTAGTCGTTTCCAGCTTTAGGGACGGTGCTCATTTCTGTTTCAAAGCCAAAGAGCCAGCACTGTCCCAAGACATTTCTGTGGTCAACATGACTCAATGTCGAAGGTGCATGGAGCGCTGTTATCTTCCCACCAAAGTGGTCCCTATTTTTCTACTTGCGTTTTTTACGTGCTTTCGAATTGCTAGGTTGGCAGAAGCTGGGACAAGTAACGGGAGCTCACTTCGTTACGCTGCGCTAGGGATTCGAACCATTGAACTGCCAACCTTCTGATTGACAAGCTCAGCATCTTAGCCACTGAGCCACCACATCCCTTCCCACAATAGGATATGAATAAATAAAAATTAAGAACAATGGAAACATGACATCGTCCTTCAATATCCAACTTCCCACCCCGCTATCTGTGGCTGCAGCCCTTCCTTTATACAACTGAGAATGTATAACCCAGTAAATTTTTATTTAAAAAAGACTCTTAATCCAATCCAAAATCATGGAGGAGAAACCTGTCAATGGCTACTAATCACAGTGGCTATAATTTACCTCCAGCAAATCTCTGGATACCAATTGCTGAAGAGCTGCATTACTTTCATATCCTAGGCGTAATCTTTCTTTAGCCTAAATAGGCCTTTGGCTTAATCGAGTTTGGTTTTCCTGAAACTCTCCGAGGAATACGCTTAGCATTTCAAGAGTTTGCACTTGTGAAAAATTGATGACAAACTCCGGGTTCCTGGAGAAGACTTTAAATGGGAGAAGAAATATCATCTGAACAACCTGAGAAAGGAAAACGAATGAAATCTGTATTGCGCAGGTAAACTAACTAATTGGAATTCCTGGACCATTTGCCCATTGGCCACATCCAGCTCTTAAGAGAGATTTAATAGCCTTCCCTCTCGTTCTTTTTAATTTTTCTTCCAGGAGTTTTTCTGTTGAGTTATTCCTAGGCACTTCATTGATTTTTTTTTGCTTGGATCCCCACTTGCAGAGATGCTTGAAGGACTGCCCCTTAAATCTCTTTGTCTTTGACTGATATTTGTCGGGCTGCAGTTCTAAGCCACTTAAATGGAAGTAAGTTCCAGTGAAATCCCAGTGTCTTAATTCCAAATAAATGTTGTCAGGAGCAGAGTGAAAGTCACCTTCAACAACGTGAACAAAATAGCTTTTGTGTAGTCAACAGACAGGGAAACACCTCTCCCACCCCACCCCCATTTGCCGATAAATACGAGATGCTGCAGATAGTTTAGTTCTCGGTGACTTTTGTAAAAAAATCTCAGAACTTATTTCTCCATATGGTGGAACCCTGGGACAGATCACAGATGCTGCAGTCTACCCTTTGGTATGGCTTATGCTACGAGTTTGCATCTTGTTTCTTACTTGAAAGTGTCAGGAAACTGGTTTAGCAATCATGGCTAAAGGGAGCTTTAAGGGATATAGAAAAAGGAGGCAGAAGAAACTCAAGAACTTTATGCTGCTACTCTCAGCTCTTTCTGCTGCCTGATCTGGTACTATCGGAGACCAAAACATCAGATAGATGACAGACAGACAGACAGACAGACAGACAGACAGACAGACAGACAGACAGACACAGATGATAGATAGATAGATAGATAGATAGATAGATAGATAGATAGATAGACAGACGATGGACGGATGGATGGATGGATGGACAGACGGATGGATGGATGCATGGATAGCTACCAGACTGTTTTCATATAGTAGTTGTTTCATTGAACACCATTTGGAAAATGATCCATGTGTCTTAATAATTTAATTGTTCATGGTGCAACTCATATCCTGTTATATGATATAAGAATGTACATCATATAACAGGATATCATACTGTATGAGAATTATACAGTATACACTGTATACTACCACACTAATGAATGAAGATATTAAAATGTCCATCTTTATTTGCAAAATGTTGCAAGTAAATAATAGCTACACACACCCACACAAACAGAGCCTCGAGTGGTATAAATTGTGATTCACCCATATACAACCTTCCATATATTTAGATAGATAGATAGATAGATAGATAGATAGATAGATAGATAGATAGATGATGGATAGAGAGATGCCAAATTTCTAAGTCAATTTCTATCATTTGTTTGAAAATGTCACTATTCAAGTCATTCCCATTTGTATCAGGCATTTTCCCAAAATGTTATCACATGACTTAGAAGTGCAAATTATGTCTTCCTTGGATGCATCTGTGCAACCGACCTCAATGGCTGTGATGATTCACTCTCTGATTTAACAGACAATCAGAAATAACAACAGACACCATCTTCCCTCTGTCGATCCATTAAATCAAGGTTCCTCTGTAATGTTCTCTTCCTCAGTGAAGGAAGGCGAGCCTAGAACAGAAATTCACATCAACGGATCGCAGACATTGTATTTCAAGAATCAGAGAGTTATTTTCCATGATCAGAGATTACAGGATGGTTTATATCCCTCATAACTTGTTTGTTCTTCTTGGTTTGTGCCAGAATTACACCAGGAACTAACCAATAGACTGGGCTACTGAAACAAAAGAAAACACAAAAGATAACTCTGACTATGCTTTTGTATGTTGTTTATGGGTAGCCATTACAGTAGTGGCCAAAATTGTGGAAGCCTTTTGGAAAAAGTGTATTTTCTAAAAACTAGCTAATAACACCACTTTTTTTTTTTTTAGTAGTACCATCAAATTATATATCAATGGAAAGATAATTGAATCAAGAATGTAATGCAATAACTTTTATGAAGGATTTGCTATTAGAATAGCAGTTACAGTATAAAGAAGAAAAGTGAAACACGTAGAAAAAACGAGATATACAAAAATGATCACCATGTCAGTTAATAGTTGAGTAACCTTTAGCATGAATTATGGCCTTACAACGTCTCCCCATGGAGTGAACCAAGTCTTTTAGTTCTTTTTTTTTAATTTTAAAAACAAACTTTATTCAATATAAAAAGATAAAAAATTGTACAAAACATTTTTAACTCTAAAAAAGAAAATACAATTCTAAATTACATATATACTAAAACTAACAAACAGGATTATCTATCTATAATATTTAAACATGTGAATATATATATACATTAATCTTGATTTCTTAATGACGGTGTATATTTGCTACCTTTAATTTCTTACTGTATTTGACTTTAGTTTTTTTCCCCCATCGATTGATCCATTCATACCATCTGTCCCATATTTGGTAATACTGTGAGTCTTCCTTGTTGTTTAATTTTAAAGTTAATTTATCCATTTCTGCACATATAAATATCTTTTGGATTATTTGTTGTTCTGTTGGCAACTGTTCTAATTTCCAGGATTGGGCTAGGGTTAATCTAGCCGCCGTAATTATATGTAATGTGATGTATTTTATTTCTTTTCTACTACTTTTTTTAAGTATGCCTAATAAAAAAAATTCAGGTTTTAGGTCAATCTCTTGACCTAGGAAGAAGACAAGTCTTTTAGTTCTGCAGCTGTTATATTGTGAACCCAAGATTGAAGGATTGCTTCTACTAACTGGGTTTTATTGCTGGGTCGCTTCTGACTAACAAGTTTCTTTAGTCGGCTCCATAGATTTTCAATTGGGTGAAGGTCTGGGCTATTTCCAGGCCATTCCAGCAGCGGAATGTGATTATCTTGAAACTCCAAAAAAAGAAAAAAAAAGTGGTGTTATTAGCTATCAAACCTCAAAAATACACTTTTCCCAAAATGAATCCTCCCATGGAATTCATCTGGAAATATCATTGAATGCAGTGGACAATCATCCAAGAATTCTGCTTTTATTCTTCTGGGGGCTAAGAAAATTATAATCATATTGTTGCTATTATATCAGTTTCTCAGCCCAGACGGTCTGTCTAGATTACTGTGAGATAAAAAATGGCAGGAGTGCTTTGCTTTGAGATCCTAGATTAAAGATGGGATAGAAAGCTAGCCAATAAATAAATAAAATATATCACTTTTTGTTTTCCCCAGATTTTTTATTAGGTCGTTAGAATAGTTTTATTTCTGTATTATAATTTTGACAAGCCAAACTTCCCCCCTCCCTTTGGAAGTGGTATATTTTCAGGTGAGTAAATTTACACAATGCCTAGAGAAAGATTTAGTGCAGGACCAAAGATATTCTGAAGCTGGCATTCTTTCTGTTTTCTGGGTATTCTGTTACACACCTAGCTGTGTGGTTGCTCCTGATTTCTTCCTAATTTGTTCTGACAAAACAGGAAAAATTCTTTATGATTTCTGACATCTACCTTCAAGGTACGCTCCTGTTTCTTATCTTCTGCTCCATACTTCCTCCAACCTGTTAATATTATTCCGGTTAAAATTTTACATACAAATTTTCTAATTCAAGAAAAGATGCAGCCGCCTTAAAAAGTTGCAGGCAAGGATTATGTCTGTGGTGGAAAACACTTTTTTGAATCAGCACCATCTCAAAAAGAGAAAGAAAGAGAGAGAAGAGAGAGGGAGAGGGAGAGAGAGAGAGAAGAGAGAAGAGAGAGAGAAGAGAGACAGAAAGAGAAAGAGAGAGAGAGAGAGAGAGAAGTGAGACAGAAAGAGAGGAGAGGAGAGGAGAGGAGAGGAGAGAGGGTGGGGGACGGGATAGAATTCGTCCTAGAATGAATTTTTTGGTCTTATACTTAGTTTCTTTGTCAGAAGCACACAGTCAAGCATTTTCTGAAATCAATAAAATCATTTTGAGTTTTCCTATCTTTTCCTGCTCTAGTTTCTGTACTCCCAGAAATCTGTTTTTGTTTCTCCCAAGCAATATGTGAATGTCCATCATGGAAACTGGATGAGACGGGATGCACACCTATAATGGAGAACAAAATCACCTGGAGTAACCTCCTGGATAATGAATATTAATACAGTCTATGGGTCAACCCTGAAGTGAATCTGGCTGAAGCTTGAGGTTTCAGGGTTGCCACAAGGAAGAAGAAAGGACAGAGATAGATAGCAGGGTGGGGTTGTGATCAAAACAAAAAGTTTTCCTGTGGGAACCAAGGTCATTCCAACAGGTGGCTGGGGAGAGGAGGAGCAGAGTAACCAAGCAACTGGCCAGCACCTCTATTAGACAATGTGACTTAGGAGAAGGGGGAACTTTTACTTTTTAATCAAATGAAAACTGCTGGAACTTCCAGAGTCTTTTTTCATCAGTTGTGCCAACAAATGATCCATCCAATAAATTGTTCTTTGAGGAACCTACCTGCCTCGGAGTTCTGCTTTCTATGGGTGCATTACTTGGAACGCTGACACTATGACTGTATTATTTTTATTTTGTGAAAAGTGGGAAAGGAGATGTTTCCCTAGGTAGACAGTAGGTAGATACTGTCTGACAGGTTTCTGGGCTTAGTTTTTGGCCCAAAAGACAATCATTCTATGTTTAATGGTTCCCAAACTTCTTGATATGTTCATGCTGTCCATTTTCTCAACTGAAATAGTCAGAAATCGTTTGACTCAATCTTGCCGAAGAAGACACTGAATTCAGAAGATCTGGTGGGAAGAACACTTGGTCCTCCGGCCTCACATCTCGTTTTTCTTCTACTCATTCTGAAGCATGTTTTGATCTTTGTATTTATCTTACCATTGGTTTTTCTCTCACTTTTATAATATTCCCTTCAGGGGTGGTTCTAAAACTTTTTACTACCGGTTCTGTGGGTGTGGCTTATTTTGTGGGTGTGGCTTGATGGTCATGTGACAATTATTTAGGATTTAGCAGAGGTACTGGTCTACCAGGCTTTTAACTGCTTGCAGAGCTGTACCGGTCTACTCATTTGTTTTTTGGAGGCACCGGTCTACTCATTTGTTTTTGGAGGCACCGGTCTACCACCACACTGCCTTTTAACACTGATCAACTGTAGGGCGGCCCTTTGAAGCCCTGTGGCAAGAGTTTAAACAGTTTTTTTCTTTCTAGCCGATCAGCTGGGACTCAGGAGGCAGCAATAGATTGGGAATGGAGCCAGATAAAAGGTAAGAATAATGCGGGAGGGGGGCGAGAGTTGGGGGGGCAGGAGGGCCCAGCTCCCGAATAAAGAGAACTGGTTCGGTGACGTCATATTGTCGCTGCTACCGGCTCAGCGGAACCGGGAGGAACCCACCACTGATTCCCTCCCCTCCATTATTCTTTAAGCTTCTTTTGACCCTTCTATTTGTCTACTAAAGAAATCCAGGTTACTAAGAAGTTGAAGAGGACAGAAAAAGGACTCCGATTGTTTTGTAAAAAAAATATGCATAGATCTACATTAAATATACACTCACATCAAAGGTGGTATTCAGCCGGTTCGTACCAGTTCATGCAAACCGGTAGTGGAAATCGTGGGTGGGCCCGCCCACCGGTCCCGCCTCTATGCCATCCTATTTAGGCACGTTTTCAAGGCTGGGTGCATGTGCAGAAGGGACGCAATCAGGCGGCAAAACGGTGGTAAGAATATTAGAAACCCACTGCTGATTCACACGCAGATTGATAAACCCCTGTTTTCTAAAGAAACAAATTTCTAAATTTGTTTTCTTCCAGATCTACATTTTAAATATAGCGTGAGAGAGTTTTTGAACTGTGTTGGTACATTGGGAAAGTGTCGATGCTGTGGGAAGCTAAATTCTGATCTGCACATTTGTTCAAGAGATAATAGATCAGGAGGGTCCACGTGAGAATTTAGACATCTGTCTTTCTAACCTAATTGGTGCTTAGCCATCCAAAAGAGGCTATTGATAGAGACAATCATGTATAAATAAGAACACCCTTAAAACTTGATTTCTGGTGATTTGTACAGTTTTCTTGGCAACAGTAGAACAATATTTATTTTTCTTTTTTTTTCCTGGGATTTTAATTTTGACTTTCCTTGTGTCAGCTGTTCCAAGTGTACCCATAGAAAGCAGAACTCAGAGGCAGGTAGATTCCCCAAAGAACAATTTATTGGATACATCATTTGTTGGCACAACTGGTGAAAACCAACTCTGAAAGTTCCCGCTGTTTTCACTTGATTAAAAAGTAAAAGTTCCCCCTTCCCTCAAGACATCAGTCACATTGTCCAATAGAAGTGCTGGCTGGTTACTTGGTTACTCTGCTCCTCCTCTTCCCAGCCACCTATCGGAATGACCTTGGTTCCCATAGGAAAACTTTTTGTTTTGACTACATACCTTCGGTTAACTGTTTTCCCCCCACTTCCTTGTCCCTTCTTCTTCCTCGTGGCAACCCTGAAGCCTCAAAGATGGCTTCAGGGTGGACACCTTGTTTAGTCAACAGCTTTGAATTTCCTTGGCAAAAACTCACATCCATACAGGTAGTCCTTGACTTAGAACGGTTCATTTAGTAACCATTCAAAGTTACCACTGCATTGAAAAAAGTGACTTGTGACCATTTTTCATACTTATGCCCATTGCAGTAGCCTCCCCATGGTCAAGTGATCAAAATCCAGACGCTTGGCAATGGACTCATACTTATGACGGTTGCAGTGTCCATGGGTCATGTGATCCCCTCTGCTTTCTGACAAGCAAAGTCAATGGGGAAGACAGAATCACTTAACAATCATGTTGCTGACTTAACAATTGCAGTGATTCACTTAACAACCGTGTCAAGAAAGATCATAAATTTCACTTAACAACTATTTCGCTTAGCAACAAAAACTTTGGGCACAACTGTGATCGTAAATTGAGGATTACCTACGTACTGATCAATCCCACACCTAGAATATTTTCCAAGGCCAGACAAGATCAGCCAGGTGAAATCATAATGCCACACTCTTATTGTTTGCAATAAAATATCCACAATTATCCTTGTAATGACTTCCAAAGTGCGTCATTAGAATTAGTCCCACTCTATTATTTACTGAGTAAAGCACCAGAGTAATGTCACAATCTACAGTAATTCATAGCTAATGTGATAAGTCACAGAAGACTGACAATTAGAACAAGAAAATAGATGCTAGCTTCCTTGATTTTTAGACAATCCATAACTGGGGAGTAGCTCAAGCGATACATTTTTTTTATTAAAATTGGAATTTAAAATATATTAGTAATTTTCATTGGATGAATTCTACAATGTCTTCTTTATTAAGAACCAATCTTCCTTCCTTCCTTCCTTCCTTCCTTCCTTCCTTCCTTCCTTCCTTCCTTCCTTCCTTCCTTCCTCTCCTCTCCTCTCCTCTCCTCTCCTCTCCTCTTCCCTCCCTTCCTCCCTCTCCTTCCTTCCTTCCTTCCTTCCTTCCTCCCTCCCTCCCTCCCCTCCCCTCCCCTCCCCACCCCTTCCTTTCTTCATTCCTTCCTTCCTTCCTTCCTTCCTTCCCTCCTTCCTTCCTTCCTTCCTTCCTTCCTTCCCTCCCTCCCTCCCTCCCTCTCCTCTCCTCTCCTCTCCTCTCCTCTCCTCTCCCCCCCTCCCTTGTTGGCTGCAACAAACATTGCTCTGAATTGGTGAAAGTGAAATGAACTTTCCTGGAAATATTAAATAATATCTTTGGAACCAATTGTAGCCCTCTTTTCTACCTATCTCCATGAGACTGCTGGATTAGGCTGAGAAAGAGTGACTGGCCCAAGGTTTCCCAATTGGCTTTCATGACTAAGGTGGGTCTAGAAGTCACCATCTCCTTCTTTATCACCTGGTGCCTTAACCACTAGACAAACTTGGCTCTCAACAGTTTCCTCCACAACTGCTAATTTTCATTTCAGAACAATGTGTTGTCATCCTATGGGACACGATGTATCACATAATATCCTATGACTAACACTAAGTCATAACACTATCTTATGACTCATGATGAATGTATTTATGAGGACTATGATCATGATTTATCACTTATATATTTGATGTACACTGAGAGCTTATGCACCGGAGACAAATTCCTTGTGTATCCAATCATACTTGGCCAATAAAGAATTCCATTCCGTTCCATTCCGTTCCGTTCCATTCCGTTCCATTCCATTCCATTCCATTCCATTCCATTCCATTCCATTCCATTCCATTCTATTCTATTCTATTCTATTCTATTCTATTCTATTCTATTCGGTTAGGAAAACTGGAAGTTTAATATATGCAGAAAAAGGTATATTATTGGGTTGCCTAAAGTAGGTAACGAATTAGGTCCACCTTGGTAGCTCTATGTTAGAAAAAATAGCTTAGAAAAGTTGTGAAATTTAATCTTGACCGGTCTCCTCTACCCACTTATCTTCCCATGCTTTCCAGGAATGTTCCTCCTTTGGATGTAGACATTGAAACAGAGGTTCCTATGATGCACAAGGTTGCCATAGAAAATATACTATTGTCTATGACAGATTGTGATGAGTCCAGGAGAGGAACGAAATTGGAGACTGGATATAAATGAACAAGGTTAGAAGGTTAACAGGCAACTCAGCTCAGTTGGTGAGAAACTTGAGAAGAAGAACATTTCACAATGTTCACAGGGATTCTACCTTATTACCGGCACCATAAATGGAGTTTAGAAGATCCCTTCTACTCTTTCAGAGATTCTGCTTTCACCCAACGCGCAGTGAAGAGACCTTACTGAAATGTGTATCAGTTCTCGCTTTCTCCATCTTGCTCAGTTGCACGCGGCTTGACAAGTAAGTGACATGGGATGCAGTGGCTCAGTTGCTAAGACACTGAGCTTGTCGATTGAAAGGTTAGCAGTTCAGCGGTTCGAATCCCTAGTGCCACGTACCGGGGTGAGCTCCTGTTACTTGTCCCAGCTTCTGCCAACCTAGCAGTTTGAAAGCAGGTAAAAAATGCAAGTAGAAAAGTAGGGACCACCTTTGAAATGGAGATGAGCACCGCCACCTAGAGTCGGGAACAACTAGCACATATGTGCAAGGGGAACCTTTACCTTTTTGACAAGTAGGAAAGGAAAGCTGAATAAATCAACTTGCGCAGTTCTGCTAGGCAAAGCAATATAACACAAGCCAAGAAGGTGCTCTTTAAAAGCATGTGGCAGATAGAGAACACTTTCCACTTTTTGTAAATATCACTATGCAGGTAATTCTTGGCGCTATCAGGATTCATGCCACCCATATGTGTGTGGGTATGCGACGTGGTGATTTTACTGGAGTGTTTGATCCAAGTGAAAATTATTGCCTCGAAACTATCGTTTTGCGTGAAATTATTGGCTTGCAATAGGAATGGGGGGAATTCGCTCCATGTGGAGATGCGTGTGAACATTTACACGATGCTGAAGTTTGTAAGAAAGGATAACCACGCTTGCTCGTTGTTTTCCTTCCTCAGTTTCCCTTTTGGATTCAACTTTGCGACAGAAATGATGGTGTAGGAGTAGGAATGTTCTTTATTGGCCAAGTGTGATTGGACACTCAAGGAATTTGTCTCCGGTGCAGAAGCTCTCGGTGTACATACAAACCACAAATTGATAAGTCATAGAACATAAATCATAAGATATAAACAACAAGTGATAAATCCTAAGTTACCAATAGGAGAAGGTAGTAGGAAAGGTGAGAAGATGAGAGAGATGAGAAGGATAGGAGATTTATTATTTTATTTTATTCATTCATTCATTCATTCATTTTATTGAGTACATATTAGATAATATATATAAGTATAAGCATGAATTGAATATATAAAATGAATACAATTAACAGAAACATTAGGACAGGGATGGTAGGCACGCTGGTGTGCTTATTCATGCCCCTTACAGGCCTCTTAGGAATGGGGTGAGGTCAACAGTAGACAGTCTAAGGTTAAAATTTTGGGGGGTTTGGGGATGAAACCACAGATTCAGGTAGTGCATTCCAGGCATTGACCACTCTGCTGTTGAAGTCGTATATTCTGCAATCGAGTTTGGAATGGTTTACCTTGAGTTTGTATCTATTGTGTGCTCGTGTATTGTTGTGGTTGAAGCTGAAGTAGTCATTGACAGGTAGGACATTGTAGCAGATGATATTATGAGCTATGCTTAGGTCGGACCGAAGGCGGTGTAGTTCTAAATTTTCTAAACCCAGAATTTCAAGTCTGGTGGCATAAGATATTTTGTTGAGAGCAGAGGAGTGGAGGACTCTTCTATAATAATAGGTGATTATTATTAATGATTATTATTATATTATGATATCATAGGTGATGCTATTGGTGGCCAGTGACACTGAATTCCCCCATTAAATACTTCATTCTTTTCTTTAACAAAGATACTTTTAATGTCTTCAAGAAGGGATATGAAGGATTCCAACAAAGAGGATTCTTGTCACTTTTAAAATTTACAGAGTTTGGGGGGAAAAAAATAGTAAGAGAAAAGGATGGGAGACAAGGCCCACCATAGCTTCTGTTTATGATGACACCTAATTTATTTTGTATTTATTTATTTCATACCTCCTCCTATCCTGAATATTCAAAGCAGCTTATAACGTTTCTTAATACACTGCACAAAAAGGTAAACAAAGCATAACCATAAATTAAACATCTTCCTAAACGTAATTAGCAATTAGCAGTTAAAAGCCCAGCAAAAGTGTTACAGAGTTTCCCAACTATGAGAGCAGGGAAGGACGGATACAACTCCTAGAATGTGGTCCCCACCTGGGAGCAAAGCACAAGAAGGTCTTTTCCTGAATATGAGGAATAGGGTACCTCTGGCAATGGGAGCACTTTTAGGAAAACTTTTCCTGCTGTAAATTAATTAATAATTAAGTTATTAAAAATGGAACTGCAGTATATCTTTTGGCAATAGATTCATGACCCAGAATGAAAACATTGTACATCCATGGTGCTGAATTCCTTCCTTCCTTCCTTCCTTCCTTCCTTCCTTCCTTCCTTCCTTCCTTCCTTCCTCTCCTCTCCTCTCCTCTCCTCTCCTCTCCTCTCCTCTCCTCCTCTCCTCTCCTCTCCTCTTCCCTCCCTCCCTCCCCTTCCTTCATTCCTTCCTTCCCTCCCTCCCTCCCTTCCTTCTCTCACTCTCACCTTTCTTCTTTATTTCCTTCTTTCCCTCTTGACTTCCTTCTTTCCTTCCTTCCTTCTTTCCTCCCTCCCTCCCCCTCTCCCTCTCCCTTTTTTCCTTCCTTTTTTCTTTTCTTCCTTCCTCCATTCCTCCCTCCCTCCCTCCTTCCTTCCTTCCTTTTCCTTCCTTTCCTCCCACCCTCCCTCTTTCCTTCCTTCCCCCTCTGCCTCTTCCTTCCTTTTCTCCCTCCCCATTTCCCTGTCCCCATTCTTCTTTCTTTCTTTCTTTCTTTCTTTCTTTCTTTCTTTCTTTCTTTCTTTCTTTCTTTCTTTCTTTCTCTTCCTTCCTTCCTTCCTTCCTTCCTTCCTTCCTCTCTCTCTCTCTCTCTCTCTCTTTCTCTCCCCACTTCATAATAGATGAAGTGCACAGAGAGATAACATTTTACCTGAGGCTTTCAGTGATGCAAAGTCTCCATGCATGCATACATAAGTGGCAATCTCATGCCCTTGCTTTAATGTCACTCTTCGCCTCTTACAGAAGGCATGTTGCAAAGCACTCTTTGGAGGTGAGAGGGAGATGAGAATTGTTACCAAGCCTGCAGACAAAGATGAAACAAGATAGGCTAGCTAATATCCTGGAAAACAAAAAAAGCTGTATAGAAAACAATGAAATAAAATTCAACTGAATTCTTCTAGGGAGAAAAGGGAGAAAAAACACACCTCCCAGTACATAAATAATATTTTGTGTTTAAACAAAATGCCAGTTATTAAAAAGATTAATCTGGAAGTTGTTGTGGATGATGAACTGAATATGAATCAGAAGACATGGATGATGACATCAAGGTAGCTTTAGGCTGCATTACCATTTTATAGCTTCCAAATTATAGGAAGCAATGATCACTATATTCTGTATGGATCAGACTCCTGATATGTCTATTTCTGCACACAATCCATCCATCCATCCATCCATCCATCCATCCAATCCATTCATCCATCCATCCATCCAATCCAATCCATCCATCCATCCAATCCAATCCATCCATCCATCCATCCAATCCATTCATTCATCCATCCATCCATCCATCCATCCATCCATCCATCCATCCAATCCATCCATCCATCCATCCATCCATCCATCCAATCCATCCATCCATCCATCCAGCCAGCCAGCCAGCCAGCCATCCAATCCATCCATCCATCCATCCATCCATCCATCCATCCATCCATCCATCCATCCAATCCATCCATCCATCCATCCATCCATCCATCCATCCATCCATCCATCAGCTTGTTCTAGTCCGTTATTTTGTCTACAACAATACGAAATTTTGGCCAAGTACCAGGTAGATTTAGATCTCCAGCAGTGCATTTTCCCTCCTCTGGATCCTGTCCATTGCAGTAAATATTGAATATCCATTTACTGTCTTAAATGTCTTTGCAAGTTGATCTTTTTTGAAAAAACTTAGTATGCTTACAGCAGTCTTTTTGAGTAGTAGAAGCTTATTTCAAATACTTTTTAACAAGGCCATGTAAAAAATAAGCTTTTTGATTTCGCTTTTTGGGGTTGTATATCAGTTATTAGGAAGTCACACTTTCTACATACTGGCCAGACTTTTAGCTTGTGCCTTTTCTAATCAGACAGGTTTGGATTTTAACTTCAGACTTAGAAATTATATGAGAACAACTGGTCTATTTCAGTTAAATCAAAACATCTGCTCAGTTTTGCTGCAGCTGGATGCTTACTCTCAAGTCATATATAGTTCTGCAGGGGCTGGCTAATTCCTGCATCACCCTATGAGTGTAATAATTTATATTAAATTATGTATCCTATTTTTCCTTCCAGGCAGATGTGTCCAAAATAGTCAATATCAATTAAAAATGGAACAAGCCATAATGTAAATCCTGATAATCTCATTGAAGTAGGGAAAAAATTACAGCAGTATACTATATCAACAAATTAATAAGCAGATTTAAAACTTTAAAAACAATCCAAAATAAATGTAAGTGTTCAACTAATAGAAAAACAAATTAAAAAATATGTCTGAAAAATAACTGCTTTCAAGCAGTAGCAAAAGAAAGAGAAAAACAGAGTTTTCGGGACACAGTGTTCCATATATTGAATGCCATTAGAGAAAAATGTGTTTTATGTGTTTTTGTTTTTGTTTTTTTTTAAATTTGATTTATATGCCACCCTTCTCCGAAGACTCAGGTTTACAATGCGTTAAGCAATAGCCTTCATACTTTTGTATATTTTATACAAAGTCAGCTTATTGCCCCACAATCTGGGTCCTCTGGTGTTGCCTTTAGCTGTATCTCAGAAAGCTATGGAAAGGACAAAACAGTTTCATTAGATAATCTTAACTATGTCTAAGGAAATCAGCAAGAACCCTCTCCCCATGCTTATCTTAAGTACCACTTAAAGCAAATTATTATGTTTACATAATAATCTCAGCAGCCATGAGGGATCAATGTTGTATAGTGACTACTTCATGCAGCGCTAATTCCCATGATAGAAATATTGCTATGCTCCATCTACATAAGCCTCAGTTACGGTATTTTATGAAGTAGTTTTAAAAATTGCAAGATTATTTTTTGATCACAAGTTTTGATTGTTTTATCAAACTCCTGGTCTATAGTGCACACTCCCATTTTAAACTGGTTAGGATTAGGATTAGAGTATTTTGAGAACTGTCAATGCCACAGCTTTATTTTATTGACTTAATAGATGCCACAGTAAGAATTTCAAGTCACATTCTGCAGAGGTTGTTTCAGTTACCCTTTTTAGTTTACTAGATAATCCAACCCAATTTAGTCAACTGTTACTTTTTTCAGGGCAAATAAACATACTGTCAAGTTTTGAAGTGTATTCAGGCTGCTTTCATTTTTACGGATTCTTAGCTTGCCAATGAACTATTGGGGGAAGGAGAATTGGAATGAGGATTTTTAAACATCAAGCAGTTAAGCTGTGAGAACCAAGGTCATGTCAGCAGGTGTTTGGCAGACTTTCAAGACATCTTCTCACAACAATATTGTGACACTCAATTGGACAATGTGACCTGCACTAATTGGAGGGAGGGACTATTCTATACTTTAATTATATTGAATTGCCCGTGAATTAGCCAGAGCTGGTTTTGCTTTCATTCTATGCCAAAATGATGTACTCAATGAAGTTTTTCATGAAGAGATTGGATCATCTCTTTCTGGGGTTGGGTTCATCAGTTGGAACCTTGACACATACTTCTAAAGTACTGAGGTATAGCCATATCTTTATTTAGCTCTTCCGAAGCAAAGCAGAAAAATAGCTAAAAATTGTCAGTGATTTGAAATATGTGCGTGATTACGAGAGACTGGTATTTCTTTTTCATTGTAAAAAGTCAAGATTCACAACAATCGTAAGCTGACTTTTTCTTGATATGATCATGTTCTAGAAAACAGGTTATAATTTTTACCCTCTGAAAATTTTATTGTGGTGCCTAAACTTTATAATTGAAATGACTAGTAATATGTTTTCCATCCTTTTAGCTGAATTTGATTCCACTTGGGAGGTACTATGCAGATACAGATGAAGACTGAAATGCTTGTGTCTATAAAAAAATTAGAAGAGATGTTTTTGGAATAAGCAAAAGGTAAAATCTTTTTCCCTTGTTTTTTTAACATTCACTGGATGTTAAAACTGAATAGGGATGATATTTTGACAGGAAGTACTCTTACTAATGTGGTTTATACTCTAAATGAAAGGTATTTTACAGTTTAGTATATTTATGTGGACCATGTTAAGGTGAAGGAGAATGTGACCACCTCAGTAATGTCATCTCAGGGTTAAAATAAAGCACATTTCTGAAGAAGAAAAAATATAATATGGCAACTGAAACACATACACACATACACAGGCAGAGAGACAGAGAAACCGAGAACGAGAGAGAGAAATGAAGGAAAGATTGAAGGAAAAGGAAAAAGTTCTGGCATGGCATCTGAGCTATAAAAAGATTGATAATCCCTAGATGGCAGAAAAGGACAAATATTTTTTTTTCCTGAATATATTTGCATTATCCAATGGTTTTGAGTCCAAGAGAGATCTACTTGAAGTAGTACAATAAACTATACTTTGAATAAAACACAGTAATTGGGGTTCATGCCATAAACAATGTCATAATCCCAAAGTTTCAAATATCTAATGGATGGCTAATACATAAATATTTAATAAACATTAATGTAGGACATGAAAGTGAATAGAAAACCATAAGACTACAGAACCTTTCTTTGAATCAGGAACTCTTGCAAAGGCAGCAAACCTGCTTCCTAGTAGGCAACCATTGTGACTGTCACTAATCATAAAAGTAAGAGCAATTCTGCATTATTTTATGATCCAAACAGTGGTGAGATTCAAATAATTTAACAACTGGTTCTCTGCCCTAATGACCAGCTGGGTGGTCATGTGACTGGGTGGGCATGGTCAACTTGATTGGTCTCACCCTTGGGAAATTTCTCCTTAATCCAACTCACAATAAAATAGCACAATAAAATAGCACTGTTCCAATATTTAGAATAGAATAGAATGGAACGGAATGGAACAGAACAGAACAGAACGACTGGACTGGACTGGACTGGAACGGAATGGAACGGAACAGAACAGAACAGAACAGAACAGAACAGAACAGAACAGCAGAGTTGGACAGGACCTTGGAGGTCTTCTAGTCCAACACCCTGCTTAGGCAGGCAACCTTACACCACTTCAGACAAATGGTTATCCAATCTCTTCTTAGAAACTTCCAGTGTTGGAGCATTTACAACTTCTGGAGGCAAGTTGTTCCATTGATTAATTGTTCTGTCAGGAAATTTGAAGGGCTTCTACAAAAATTAGGCAGTTAATCTATTTTCCTAAACATCAAAAGACATGACAAGAAACAATGGATGGAAACAAACCAAAGAGAGAAGCAACCTAGGACTAAGAAAATTTTTTCTAAAGGTGAGAACAATCAGCCAATGGAATTGCTTGCCTTCAGAAGTTGTGGGTGCTCCATCACACACAAGCAACACAGTTACAAGATAATTTGAAATCTTTACAGTCTAATACTATAAGCTAACTCTTAAATGCTGAAAATGCAGGATCAAAATACATAAATATAGAAACAGAATTGCAACCCTATTCCAAATTAATAAAATCAATTCTGCTAATTAGAATGTGTATTTAAAAAGACATAAGAACTCTGACAAGAAACTCCTGCTCTGTATTAACATTTTTAAAACTCCTTCCCTGGCCTAATCCTGTCAAGAACCAGGAGCAATTCAACCTAGAAATAAGGAAGAATTTTCTGACATTGAGAACAATCAACCAATGGAACAGTTTGCCTTTGGAAGTTGTGGGAACTTCATCACTGGAGGCTTTCATGAAGAGATTGGACTGCCATTTGTCAGAAATGGTGTAGGGTCTCCTGCTTGGGCGGGGAGTGGCCCTAGATGACCTACAAGGTCATCTCCCTTCCAACTCTTTTAATCTGTATGATTTGTAAATTTCTATTGTTTCTCTGCTGACTGCATTCCTGTGGTTTTGTTATTGCAACTAAGTATTCGCCTGTTAAATGGTTTTTGGCTGTCT